TGAAAGTCATCAAAGTTTGTATTTGGTCTAAAAAATATACATGCTTTTGATTAATGTCTGAGCCCCACCCTGCTGGCACTAGATGTTAATTTGACTTCAGAAAGATATTGGACTCTTACGTTGGACTGATGTTAGGCTAAATTCTGTTTGAAATGAAAATCTGGTTGACAATATTTTAATCTAATGGCGTTAGAATTTCAGTGTGGATGTTTTGCAGATGTTGAGTTTTGTTCTCCGTACTTTACGACTAAATGTCGTTATTCAGTGTCAAGATGACGTTGACATGAGATGTTTGGAAGATGTAGGATTTTGGTTACTTTACAACACAACTTAAAACCAACAAAATCTTAACGTCATCTGCCATCAGGATTCTGTGTCAAATTGACAATAGTTGGCAATAGATATTGTCCTTTGGTCACCCAATGTCACAACCTAAATTCAACCAAATACTAATGTCTAATGACTTTGGAGGCCAACTGGGTATTTATAACATTACATTTTGTTGCCTCATTGCATCCCCATGTGCACAGCAATGAACATAAAGCTAGCACAGAGTTAGCTAACTATGCTAACAACAATGTCATACTATTGGTTGACACCTCACAGCATCATTGGAGAGCTGAACAAAGTTGAGGCCTGTTTAACTTTGATTTTTAGCGCATCATGCCCATCAGCAGTGACAACTGTTGGGCGTCAATTTGTGGCTTTGTGTCACCGGCTCCTGTTGAAAATCACTTGTAGCATCTTACTGTGTTGCTCCTAGTGTGAGCACAGCATTTAAGATCAAAGAGTTTTCCCATACAACAACCCAAGGACATCTTTAGAGTGATTTTATGTGATTCCTTTTTTTTCTAAGGCATCCTTAGATGAAAATTTAAAGCCAACCTTAAGTGGTTTTATACAACCAGGCACTGGCCCTTAAGCTACAACTTGGAAAAACTGTGACTCCTTGGCTCCATATAATGAAATGATTTCTTCCTCTAACACATTTTTACATGATTAGAAGAGAACAATTAGTTTGAACGTATAGACTAAGGGATGACAAAACATTCAGCTTGGAAACATGACAGACAATAATCAGTATGTATTATAATTATCAGTCATTCCACTTTAAAAACAGTTTCATCATCATTATCATCCACATCTTCTCGAACAGAAGTCCCTATGCCCCCCCCCCCCCCCCCAACTGCCTCTTTTATCTTTCACTCTTCATCTCTCTGCGGTTTGCATCTCGCTCTCTCACCATCGAGCACGTCCCGATCGACTTGAGCCAATTTAAATTCCATTTGGGAATCTCATTTAAATTCATGTGGGATGCCTCATTGGCAGGGTGGCGATAAACATTTAGCGAGGGGTGGATTAAACAAATCAAGACTGTGTTGTTTTGGGGGGGGGGGGGGGGATTAGAGGAATGTAACTCAACTTTCCATGCAGAGATGGAAAGATGAAGCAGTTGCATGATGGGATTGAACAGCGCTCGATGTTTGTCATGGCTCCGCACTCCCTGTGTTGTTGCTCCGAGAACCTAAATGCCAACATGCAAAACACACACACACACGCCCGCTAATGAAAAAGTCTCGCTTCAGTCTCTCTAATCTACTTTGAAGATTTGGACTTGTTTCGTCATGCTCTCTCACTCAGCCATTTTAAATCTCTCCCTCCCTCTGCAACATGTGATCTTCTCTTGATCTCTCTCGCACACTTTTGTTCTCTAATATTTCCATTCAAGCTTTCTCCTTTTCCTTTCTCCCTCCATCTGGCTCTCTTTTCCTTTCCCTTCTCCGTCTTGTCTCATATTTTCTCCCACCCCCCTCTCATTTTCACATTTTGTATTTGCCTTCCCTTTTCTCTAATCTTCCCAAGCTCATGTTGTTTCTGTCTGTCTCTAATGCTATCTTTCATACTCAATCCACAGTAAACCAGCTCATTTAGAAAACCTGTTCCATGTGGAATTAAACATTGCCCACCTGTACAGGTCACTTTCATCAATGTCTTTTTCCACATTGAAACACCTGAACAACTGCTCTCTTCTTAATTGAATTTAAGTTAACAGACCTGTTGATCATAACTAACACCAGAGGGGTAGCCTATTCCAGAAAGCAGGTTTAGTGAAAACTCTGAGTATGTTAACCCTGAAATGAGGGAAACCCTGGGTTTTCAGTTCCAGAAAGAGAGGTAAATCAAACTCTGAGTAAATCACCATGGCAACTAAGTCTGTGAACATAACCTGCTCGCTGGCAGGTTTTCTTCAATAAACCCTGAGTTTTTCTCTGTCTCCTCCCTCTTACACGCTGTTTCATTTCCTCATTCATTCAGTCCGTGTCAAAGCTTGTATCGAAGCGCATTCATTAGCGGAGATTAACCATCTGTCACAGTCTAAATCCTGCTGGATATTAGTTTGTTACTCAGGACTGTCTTAAGTTACTGAATTTATGCACATCAATCATTTCTTTGGACATCAGCTTTTGTCTTTACATTCAAATATTACACAGCGAGAATTCACCCTCAGCTCAGAATCAAACCTCTGTCCTTTTTATATTTATTATTTTTTATAACACTGTGCACAAGGATCAGACTGTCAGTCTGTTAGAGCAGCTCCCAAATGTTTATTGCACATAATGTGTAGTTCTGATTATTTAAATTTTAAAAATCAGTATGAAGCTTTAGACACGTAGTATCAATGACTAATGATCTCTATCACTGATGTCATTGGTCGCACTGATGGAACATAATTCCTATAGCCTAATATTGGGGATTATATGTTAATATTTCTGAGTGAACAATGATGCAGCATTTCAGTGTCTTTAAATTTGCTACATTTGTATCTGAAATAAAGTCACTGAATGCTGTTGAGTCAAGATACAAATAGATGTTCATCATTTTAAAATCTACTGTATTTTAACCTCAACGTCTTTTCAAGTGCAAATCACCAAACATATTATTACTGGGTCAGACTGTGAGTTTACAGTCATGTCTTTATGTCTTTGATCTATAGCCTAACCTATATGTTTTAAAGCGTCCTATTTTCCAGTTGCTGCCTCCTGTGTTTTTCCCCGTCAGATTAAATCTGAACAAATATATTATTGTATATAATTAATATAATGTAGCCTAATGTATCTACAGCCTGATACACAGTCAGATGCCACTTTATCTTCATTAAGGAAATGTAAGTCTGATAAATGATGAATAAACGGACAACACTGAATAAAACTTTTTTATGAACTTTATGTTTAACTTATTTACACTTTCCTCGCTCTGACTCAGGCTCTTCTTTTAAAGATAAACGTGCACCGTCTGCTACACATGCATTAATATCTCTGCATCCACTGGATTAAAATGGAGGCGCTGTCTTTTATTTACCTGTTGCCATGGTGAATTGTGGAGTCGGAACTCCATTGATGATGGCTTTTTATTTTCGGCTTAACTCAGAGTGAACATATTCAGAGTTGACTGAACTAACTCAAATCAGCTGTTCTGGAACCGGTAACTCAGAGTTTCCCATCTCAGGGTAAATCAACTCAGAGGTCAGGGTTAGACTCAGAGTTTGTTGAACCTCCTACCTGGAATACACCTCTGGTCAGCAGTGGGACATTCTGGTTACTTTATGTTGTAGTGGGATGGTATAAGAATTTATCGCAAATTGCGGTAAAAACAGAGTGAATTTCCATTATCAGGATAACTGTGAATACCTGGGAAACCAAAAGAGACTTTGCAAAAACAGGCTTCACAGGCACCGACCTATGGAATGACACGATGCCAATTGAAATTAAGCCCTGCCCTTTGTTTGGTTTTCACTAAAAAGGATGTTCTCTAAAAAAGATATGTGTCCTACCTGTGTTGAATTAAAAATGTTTGTTTCTCAATAAAATGAAAGATAAAGTGATTCCACTTTGTTTAGTGGCATTTTAAAAGATTTAAAGGGCTATTTTAGGTTTTTTGAAGTGGGTTGTCGACACACTTCCTGTTTGGAGAGGCAGATGGTAGAATGATCATGGTAGCTAAACAATTTACTGCTTTGTATGGGGAGAGCAGCAAAACATATTTTAGCTACCTAAAAAAATCAATATCACTCAAAGTGATCTATATTTAGAATGTTTTACTGCTTTACCTTGCCATCAGACAGCCCTTTCTGTTGGCACTACATTTTCTCAACTGGAGAACTTCTGTATGCCCATGCATATCTCCCTTTTGGCCTGCTTAGTCTCCTATTGCGGTAACTCTGGTGCACAAAGGTACTCTTTTGTTTCCACAGTGAATGGCATGTGATTGCCGCTGTCAAAATTCTACGGTTGAGAAAATGTAGTGCCAAATGAAAGAGCTGTCATGCAAATGGACATACTATAGGTAACAGACTAACTATGGAAGCCCTTTTTGGTCAGGATAATCATGACATGAAATGGTTATAGGGTCTCATTTCTTCTCTGCAGAATCTCAGTAGGTGAAACATCCATTCAGTCCTGCTCTCTGTCTCACCACCACTGTGTTTGAATAAATCCTGATTTAGTTGTTCACAATTACATATGTATTTTCTCTAAGAGATTCAAAGATTGATTAGTCTCATATTTCTCAGTATGTGCAGCAAGTCACAGGAGTGGCATTCTCTGCTTAGCAACTTAAACTGGAGTCACTGAGGGGATGATATCTTTGGCCAGTGTTGCTATGAAGTTTATCACTACTTCCACATATTTTTAGATTTATGTATAAAACAGCGATCTGATTGCAGTTTATAAATTCTACCTGTTGACTAGGTAACAGTAACCCCTGCTGGGCAGCACTGAGGTATTCAGGTCATTCACTTGTTGCAAAGGGTGTGTTTATAGATTGTCAGCAGTGTGATTTGAATGTGTGAATGATTTTTACAAGCTGAACTGGTCAGTAGCCATGAGAAACATTTGTACCAACTGTTAAATTGAGTCGAAACTCGATATGTGATGTGTGGGAGATTATGATATACAGTGTATGTTATAGCTGTAGTGGTAATTAATCCTTCTGTCCTGCAGGTGGCGGTACAGGCAGCCAGCAGACCATTCTCCATGAGGAGCAGTGGAAGATGCCGGCTCTGCCAGCACTGCTGCTGTCGATTTACATCACTGTCCTGCTGCTGACCATGGCACCGCTCTCCTTCAGCCAGGCCAACACACTCTCTGCCGTCCGGATGGGTGAGTACCGTTACCATGACATAGGGTTAAATCTGTCTGTCTCTCTGGGGTAAAAACTGCTGCTGTAAAACCTAAAAGTTGGTACCATAGTTTAAACTCCAAGGAACTGCTTTGCGCATAGGGATATTTAGTCTTACTTAAATTACAAGACAGATCATGCTTAAAAATAAGGAAATAAAGCAAGGTGAGGTTTGGTGCCTGAAAAGAGTGTGCAGGAGGCATGAGGCAAAAACATGCTGTGGATATTGTAGTATTTTGCTCACGAAGCTAGTCATATTTTGGTGATCCACAATCAAGTCTCTTGCCGTTCCTTGAATTTGTCTGATCATTTTAGCAAAGGCCCTTTCTGACAGAAATTCATAAATCTTGTCCTTTCTACATTTTGACATTTTCATTATCTTTGTGTAAATTACCCTTCCTCTCCTCTTCTCCCTTGGATGTTTGTATTCTTTTGCTTTTGGGCCAGTGATATTAACATCATCAACATGCGCACTTGATTGCTGCAAATTCTCCGGACAATGACCTGCTCTGTTCACAACTGGGCTTAATCTCACTTGCCAATTGGGAGCTGGTAGGGTAAGGTCCATTTAATATTCGGTGGAACAGATTTGGACATTTGCGTTCTCACGTACAGCCTCTCTGGGTAATGTCTAGATAAGTTCAGGTTTGCAAGATTGCATTTTTCCACAGCATGTGGATCCTGTGGCCTTCTATTTCAGAAGCTTGTGTGCAAACCACCAAGCCACCCGAGTTACATGCCAGCGTTGGTCAACTGATCAGTACACCACTGCTCCACAGTTCTTGGATGGACTGCCATTAACTTTGCCAATCCCCTGACTTTTCATCTAACTACATCTGTGTGCAGTTAATACTTGTTATGTAACATTTATAACATGCTATATGATATGATTTTGCACTTTAACAAACACAGTGTCCCTTCATATTTTTGGGAATCTGTCCACAAGAACGGAAATTGATTCCATGGTGTAATTTCTTGGCTCCCTGCATGTGGCTCCATCCATGTGGTGCAAATTTTAACCAGTTTTTTTTATTTGTTTTGAAAATGAGCAAAAGAAAATGCAAATTTATGGTGTCTTTCATGCTAAGCAGTAAGTGGCACTATTCTCGTCTAGAGAAAAGAAGAAAACAAGATGACTTACAGGGCTCGACAGTGCGAGCGTTACACTCGCATTTGCGACTGAAAATAGGTGTGTGCGAACTGTAAAAAATATTTAGGGGCACATGTGTGCATAAAAAAACAGCATTTTCATTTCGGTGCATCCCTAATGAATATAAGTCCCACTGTCGGCAGCGTGGAAATAAGTCAAAGTGTGGAGGAAGCGGCGGACCTACGGGGAAGCCTGCTCCGTTCTCCCCGCAATTAGGGACCGTTCTCCACGGCCAGGCTGTCGGCTGGGTGGAAATAAGTCAAAGTGTAGCGGAGACGAGGGACCGGGAAAAGCGGTGGACCTCTGGTGAAGCCTGCTCCGTTCTCCCCGCAGTTAGAGACCGTTCGCCACGGTACTGCTGCTGTGCAGGGTGGAAATAAAGCCCTTTTTACACAGAGCGCGCAAAGCGCAGACCTCCGCCGACGAACCCATTCATTGTGTATGTGCTACCGCGGTGCAAGAGCGCACCGCTCTGCCGCCGAGCTGATGCCGCGGCCAGCCTGCGCTCGAATTGAAAATTTTTTAATTTCACGGCAACGCGCTGTGACGACACCTCGGCGCGTCCAATAGCAGAGAAGAGCCTGAAGTAGACCTGGAAGCGGTCACCATGGAGCTGTAGCTCCTGAACGAGCCTGTACTCCCCCAAATCATGTCTTGCGCGCCTTGCTCTCAGCTTGCTCTGCGCCCTACCCCGCGGTGGACGCCGTGAAAATCGCGCTCTGTGTGAAAGAGGCTTAAGTCCTGCAGAGTTTCAGAGGACCTGGAGAATGTTTTAGGATAGTAATAACATTATATAAGATAATCATATTGCAGAGATAATATATATAAGATAATAACATTAAAGACAAAATTAAATTGCAATACTTTTTCAAAACTTGATGATTTTACCTTTCTGTACATTTTGTATACAAATTCATTAAATAATTTTGCTTGTAAATGTCTATTTGCATCACGTTTATTACGGAAAACACATTATTTGATCAATTTACATTGTGCCCCTAAAGTTCTTTGTGCGCTCCTTACTTTTTCAATTTAGGAGCACATGTGCTCCTTGGGAAAAAAGTTAGTGTCAAGCCCTGACTTACCTAAAAGAGCTCCAGTCAAACTTCAAACAAAGGAAAACATTGGGTGTGTAATAACAGAGCACATTGGACAACAGAAACAGGGAGTTCTGAACAACTAAAATAACCGCTCTATGCTCTTTAAAGGGTTCTAGTAACAACCCTTTGTGCAGATATAAGCGTTTTAAAAGCCAACAAAAGACAATGAAGAGAGCTTCCAGTGGCCAAAGCAATGATGATTAGTCTTGATTGTACATTATCATTGTTAAACTGAAGATATTTCCATTGCATTAAGTTGCATTTAGCTTTTATCGATACACCAATTTTTCCACCTCCCTCAACTGTAAAAACTTTTTTTGCAATGTTTTAGGATTTATTTATTTTTTTTAATTTTTGGCATTTCCCCTCGGTTTTTTTATGTGCAAATTTAAAATATGGGTAAAAAAGAGGTGGATGAAAATGCACCATCAGATCCAGCTAGTGGTTTTTTTTTTTTTTTTGGCGGGGACTTGCCAAGGACAGCAAGTTTGTTGGTTCTTGACTTGGGACTTGATCAGGACTTCATAGTTAACCTGAAACTTACTTGTGACTCATCAAACAGAGCTCCTCTTACAACAAAGCTCCTGGTAGAAAGTGTCATCATTTACTCAGAATCCTATTCTCTGTATTAATCCTCCTCTCCCTCTCTCTACTGTTTGAATGTGTTCACATATAAAATCACACCCTCTTCCTCTGCACCACCTCTATTTTTGAACGCTCCTCCTTCACTTGTTACTCCTCCGTTTTGTTGTGTTTGTATCACTCTCCTCTTGTGTTTCCTTGTCGTTTTGTTTCTCCTCTCACCACCCACAGCTGTCTCTGTTTGCCATCTTGATTCTTCTCACACTATCTCTTTGCTTTGTTTGTCTTTTTTTACAAGCCCCTTGAGGCTTCCCTTTGTCTCTGCCGCTCGCTCGCTCACTCTGCGTCTCCATTTCTTCTTCTTCTTCCCTCCTCATTTTGTTTCTATCCCAGGTTGGATCATTTGTAAGTGCAAATAAACCCGGCAGAAACTGGATCAGGGAGGGTCTCCGTGACTTCCCTTCATGATTAATTGTGAGGCCTGAGCGCTGCGCTGCTATCAGCACCTCTTACTTACGTCCTCATCACGGCCCGCGGAGGAAGATTAACTCCAATAAAAGCAGAGACTTAACGCTGGAAGTAAAAGTTCAGCCCTCTCCTCGCAGCAGATAAGGGTTTTATTCCTGTTCATCTCTCAGCCCAGATGGCCTCCAGTTCAAATCCCTGGTGCTGTTATCACTTGGCGCTTCGGCAGAACTGGTAGGCAATTACATTCAAATTACCATGGCAACTGGGTCGCCTGGTGATGTGTAATGGCTCACCTTTCACTCTTCCATTAATACCAGCTGACTGCACCACACACACTTACATTTGACATGTGCGTACACACAGGGTGAAGCAAACACTCTTTTCATGTCTGATAAGTGGAGTTGCAGTGAAAATTACAGACATCACACTTTCCACTGCAATAAATGATTTTATGGAGCAAAAAAGACAGAATACAGAGGCAGGACTCCAGTCTCACAAGTTACATTTAAAGGGAAAAATACTTAAAAAAAAAAAAAAAAAACAAACATTTCACACTCAATTTAAAGGGAAATTTCGGTTTATTTCAACCTGTCTCCTATCGTCCTAAATTTGTTTCAAGTGACTAGTGACATTAGAATAATAGTTAGCATGTTAGCCGTTAGCCTAGATACAGCCGGGGCGCATAGTAGCATCAGACCTGTTAAAACGTAAGTGAACGGGCATACTTCAAGTGCAAAGTTAGTCCACTAAACAAGCTTTTTTCCCACAAAGACCGCCTCATATCGTTAGGATAAATGTCAGAGAACATATAGAAAACGACATGTCAACGTGTTGTCTTACCTTACTGGTGTGGTGCCATGTTTGTTTACCATTTAGCTCTGTTTTCCAAAGCGCAGCCGAAATATTGCAAGAACAAGCAGCGATCTCATACCGTGCCTGAAATCTCGCGAGTACAAGCAGCAACAGCTGGAAGGGAGAACCGGACAGTAGCCTGAAAAGTTCATTCATTTATTTTATGAAAGATTTATAGAATAATGGCTGACTTTTTGCCAGACTTCGACTTTGTGGAGGAGGAATTTGATTTTGCAGAGTTTGATGGCCGCCCTTATTTATTTGAGCCAGAATACACTGACGAAAAGCTTCATAAAATTGAAGAACAGAGGAGGAGAGAGAGAGAGGCACAGCAGGTAGAGGACGAGAGAGGAGAAATGGCTGCTGCAAGGCTGCGTAGCTCTGGAGATTGGTGGTGTACCTGTGAATGCTGTGCCCCAGTGCCCACAGAAGACGAATGCCTCTGTTGAAAGGAATGGGACCGGTTGCAGCCTTATTTTCAAGGTCTGGATGTGACCGAGGACGAGACATCTCCACCTGGAGTAGTATCCAGCTGGGCTTTGTCTAGAGCTCGCGAGATTTCAGGCACAGTATGAGATCGCTGCTTGTTCTCGCAATATTTCGGCCACGCTTTGGAAAACAGAGCTAAATGCTAAAGCTAAATAAACAAACATGGCAGCACACTGGTAAGGTAAGACAACATGTTTACATGTCGTTTTCTATATGTTCTCTGACATTTATCCAAACGATATGAGGCGGTCTTTGTGGGAAAAAAGCTTGTTTAGTGGACTAACTTTGCACTTGAAGGTTGCCCGTTCACTTACATTTTAACAGGTCTGACGCTACTATG